ATAATAATAATAATAATAATAATAATAATAATAATAATAATAATAATAATAATAATAATAATAATAATAATAATATTTTTATTTTATTCTATTTTTAGGTACGAAATTTTTGATCATAGCGGAATCATCACATCCCAGTGTAGATGCAATACTTTATCGTACATATGATATATATAGTGATTATGTAATGAAAAATCCTTTTTATACACCTGAAATGCCAATTCGAAGTGAATTATTTGATTTAAATTTACAAAAATTGATGAAACAAATTGGTGGATAAAATATATAATATATTTTATGTATTTTATATTTATTTTATTTATCATTATTTAATTTTTATTTGTTTATTTATTTATTTATTTAAATTAATTAATTAATTAATTAAATTATTTATTTATTTATCTGCATTTTGATGATTAAAGTTTAATTTGGATTAGAATTTATTTCGATCAATATCAAGATTCAAAAATATTTATATTGAATTTATATAATTTATATTGAGTTTTATAAATTGAATTTTAGATTGAATTGAATTTATATAGTATTTGATTTATATAGGGTATTATATAATTAAAATAAAAGTTATAGATCAAACTTTATTTTACTTTATTTATTTTATAGTGAACCAAAATAATAACATAATTTTCATTTTAATATTATTATTATAATTTTCCAAGTTGATGTTGACACTTTGTTTTTATTCCCTCCAAAAATATACGTATCTCAGATATATCTCATATAGATGAATATATATATATCAGATGTATACATATAAAATAGAATAATTAGGAAAGATTAAAGAAAGTGAAGAGAACGTGAACCAAAATAAATATTTTTAGGAACAAATATGTAATTTTTTGTCTTTTTTTTTTTTGGTTTTATTAGTATCAAAATAAATTCAATTTCTGCTAAAATAAAAAAAAAATTTTTTTTAATTGAGAAAATAAGGGAAAAAAAAATACGCGCGTATTTTGAAATATCTATGCGCAAATAATTTATCTTGCATTACAACACGTGCGTATTAATGTGTTTAATGTGTTTACGCACGCGAGTATACAATATATGTATAATTAATTGAATCGCTTAAAAGAAAAAAAAATCGTAAAATTTTGATTCGTAAAGAGAAAAAAATTCTAAACAAGAGATTATGGGGTTGTATAGAATATTTCCTGAGAAATACAAAAATTTCTCTTCTTTTTTCTTTTAAGAAAGAGATTCAAAAAAAAAGAGAGGTAAAAAAAAGAGATAAAAAAAGATAAAAAAAAATATACAAAGAAAGGAATCTATTATAAAGTGTCAACTATCTAGAAAAATGGTAAAATAATATTGAAATAATAATAATAATAATAATAAATATAAAGAAAAAGAAATTATAAAAAACAAAAATAATGGGTTGTTTTTATAAAATATTCTTTTAAAAATCTTATAAGAATCTTATAAAAATTCAACTTAAAATTTCTTGTGAGTAATAATCATAAAAAAAATGTTATAATGAACTTAAGATTAGTCTTAAAATAATAAGCATATAGACGGCGTAAAATAATAATGTCATAATTAATATCTAGATATTTTGAAAATTAGCAAATTTTTTTTTTTTAAGAAAAGAACTGAATAAAAGTTGTTGCATATATAAAAGAAGTCTTCCGGGAGTAAAAAATGACGCGTCAAAAAAAAGAAAAGTGTAGAAAGGTATATAAAAGATGCTATAAAGATGAAATATATATAGAAAAATCTAGAGGTATAGATATAAAATACCATGAAAACTATATCCCAAATGTTCGTTTTTTTTTGTGAAAAAAAAAATGTATATATATATATAAAAATATATAAATGTATATACCGTTATCGTTATATAAATAATAATAAAATTGTTTTTTTTTTTTTTTTGGAAAATTTTTCATTTTTTGAATTTTTTTGGATTATTATTTTTTTTTTTTTTAAAAAAAAAAGTTTTTTTTTGAATTTTTTTTTATAGATATGAGTGTATGATTTTTTTGATTGATTGATTAATTAATTAATTAATTAATGGCATGATTTTAGTTTCAATGTATGCGTTCAATAACAATACCAATAAGATTGGTAACATCATTACAATAAAGAAGCAACCGAGACGTCTTTAAAAAATTAAAATAAAAAATTAAAAATTTTGTTAGAGAGAAAGAATAAAAAAGAATTGAAAAAAATAGAAAAAACTATATTTACTTTGCTTTATTATCTGCTTGAGATTTTATAATGTAAATATCCTATAAACAATTAATAAAAAAAAAATTAATAAAGTTAAAAAATTTAATTAATAAAAATCAATAAGAAATCAATAATAAAAGATTTACCTCATCACCCAATTCTTCTTCAAGTTCTTCCAATTCCGCAATGGTTTCATAAAGTTCTTGTAATTCTTCTTCTTTATCGCGTAATTGTTTTTCTTGTTCTTCAGTTGCTTTCCTTATTTTCTCAATAGCCGACTTGATCATTTCATTCTAAAATAAACAAATAATAATTTTAATAAATATATAACAATTTTTTTGACGCGTTTTTTTTAGTCTAACCATATAAAAAACTATTCTAACTTTAAATTGAATATCATCCGCAGTATTCCCAAAAATGGATATTTATTTATTTAATGGATTATATAAGCATTGAACAATGCATTTTTTGATTGTAATGGAAATTGATTGAAATGAATTAATAAATCAAATAAATAAATACTTTTTTCATAAGAGCTTCAAATTCAAATTCTTCTTCTCCATTCTCTTCTAATAAATGATTTTCTCCTTCACTTCCATTAATAGCAAAAATTTCATCAATACCATTAATACCATTAACAATATGATCGGGATGTGAAGGAATTTGTTGTTGTTTGGATGATCCAACACTAAAATAGGAAATAAAAAATAGGAGAAAGAAAGAAATTGTATGAATTTAAAACAATTATTGTATTGTTTAAAAAAGTAAAATTATGAATACGAATAATAAAAATAGTAATAAAATAATATACGGTAAATATAATATATAAAATTTCTTACGAACCTTAAATCGTCAACTTCTTCTTGGAGAAATGATTGGATTTCATTTAACTTTTCAATTAGCTATAATGATAAAAATGGATTAAATGAAAAATGAATTAAAAAAAAAAAAAAAAATCCGGTAAAATATATTATATACAAATAATTTTGCCCCGTTTCCAGGTTTTTTTTACCCAATAGTAGTTTTTTAGCAAAGATTTAAATTTAAAATTATGAAAAAAATGAAATACCTTATCGGCGGCTGGGTAGGGTTGGTTATTAGTAACGACTTCTATAACATGCAACCCTTTCATGCCATTCACGCCATTCATGCCATTCATGCCGTTCAATCCATTCATACCATTCATACTGTTCATACTGTTCATACCATAAGATGATGTGATGGATGTAGTCATTATTATTTATGATGATTTTTTCTTGGTTTTCTTGGAATTTCTTTTTGTAGATTACGCTTTTTTGGACAGGAACGTTAAATAAATAATAATAGTGAAGTAATAATGATTAATGATATATGATAGACTACTATTTAAAAAGAGATTTTAAAAGAGAGCGCGGAACAAAGTCATAATAGTAAAGCTCAAGGAACGATGTGCTTCGAATATTTGATTTTTTTTTTTGGTTTTTTATTTTTTATAATATACTTGATAAGAAGAAAAATTACGTTGAAAAAAAAAGATTTTTTTTTTTTTTTTTTATAACTTTGTTCTTCTTCTACTCTTTAAATAGATTTTTGAAAACTATAAGGGTTGATGATAACGATGACGACGAATGGATGGATTGGTAAAGTTTCTTTTGGTGAAAACGGTGTGTAAAATAATAATAATAATGATAATAGGATAGGATAAGACATATATGACATATACGCGACAGTTAAGGTATGGACATTAAATACATAGAATGAACAGAGAATGGAAAGGAAGAAAGAGAAAAAAAAACAAGGGGAAGAGAAGTTTGTATGACAAATGCAACGCCTCCTGTGACGCCTGCAGTCCTTAAAACTTTTGAATTTTTTTTTTCAGAGAAAAAAAGATAAAAAAAAAATGATTATATTTAAATGTAATCAAGCTTCGGTGGCGGAGTCCGCCCATACTTCACGAACGGTATTATAATTAAAGTTATATCTGTATTGATTTATATTAGTTCGGTATCTCTAATAATTATTTATATAAATGACCAATATAGTCAGGTGGGATGATTGTGGACATATTTAGTATTTTTCTCGTCTTTTCTGACTTTATTTGACTATTTTTTGACCTTTTATGACTCTTTGGGTAATATCATAATAAAAACTGTAATAAACTATAATAACTATAATAGAAACTACAATAAACTATAATAAAGAATATATTTAAAGTTAATCGTGGTTTTTTTTGCCCGATTTGAATTTTTTGAGAGAAAATTATTTGATTTTTATGAATTATATTGTGAATCATTTTATTATTTATTTGTAATTATTATTTTTTTTTTGAATTTCCGTAGTCACTCTAAAAAAGAACCATTGTTTTCAAATTTTTTTTTTTTTGGGATAACACGTGGAAAAACATTTCTCGCAGATTTTATGCAGATTCAAGTATTATGAAAACAATTAAAACAATACAAATTTCAATTCTTTTGCACATTCGTCTTTGCTTGTCTTAATTTAAATAACCAACTATTCGGTTAGCCAATCAACCTAAATAACAATTTATAATAATAATAACAATTTAATAATAATAACAATAATAACAACAATTCGAATAACAATTCAATCAATTTATTTGTGCCAGTTCGGTAAGTGAACACGTGAAACTAAAAATTCGTAGTCGGTGAAATTTGATATAAATACCACCACCTTTCAACCGTCAAAAAAATGGATACTGCCAGATACGGTACAAATTTTTTTCACTACACACAACTGCTTGCTTGCTTGCTTTCACTTTTCCCCTTACATAACCAATTATTTTTCATTATTGACAATAGGTGAAAATTTTAATAGAGAGACCATCAAACATCGTATTATCAAACAACATTATCACTAATTATTATTATTATTATTTATTTATTTATTATTATTATTATCGTCATCGTCATGTCATTATTATATCGTCATTATCATCATCATTATTATTATTAAAATTCACCCTATTATCTTTCTATCCTATTATTCTATTTCATTCTATCTTTATTAGCTAAAGCTGTGAATTTTTTTTTTTTTCAAAAAAGTAAATGATAATAATAATAGAAAATAATAATAGATAATAATAGTAATAATAATAATAATAATAATAATAATAGATAATTATAATAATTTACAATATTATTAATGATAAATATTATCAATAATAGTAGTAACACTTATAAAGGATTCATTAAGTAATAATGAAGTCAAACAATTCTCATTGAAGATAATAAAGAAGGAGTTGTTTATATGTGTGTTTTTTTTTCTTGGGAAAACAAAAAAATTAACAATAAGAACTTAGTTTGAATGAATTACGATAAACGATATATAAATGATGTTATAAAAATAATCAATTCAATGACTTGTTAAAGTTTGTCGCCGGAGTTAAAGTAAGTTAAAGTTCAGAAAAAATTATTCGTAATGATTATTTAATGTTTTATTCCATGTTTACTCTGTGTTTCAAAGGAAAAATAAATAAATAAATAAATAAATAAAAAAATAAAAAAAAAGAAGAAAATTTAAATATAAATATTATTTCAAAATATTCGGAGAGAAAAAATTTTTATGAATTTATGTGCAGAGTGAACTCATACCACAATTACAGAATTAATGCATTAAAACACATTTAAGCACATATAAACATAATTAAACACATTAAAACACATTTAAATACATTAAAACATTGCGAAGGATATAAAGGTCAGCATTTATGACGCAAATAAAATTTCAAAATTTGAAAAATAATAATTGAAATAAATAATAACATTTAGATTATTGTTGATATCTTTTTTGTTCACACTATTAAAAAAAAAATTAACAAATGAAAAAATAAAACAATTGTAATAATAAATTATTATTATTTGAAACAGCAATATTTACCATATTTTGCATATAGTACTAAACTTTATTTATTTTGATATTATATTCATTATCGTGACTACTGAGAATAAAATGAAATAAAAATAAAAACTGACTTTACGCATTATAATACACAATAGTACATATTATAATAAATTCATAAAGGTATTAACAAATCTATAATATATATAGTAGTAATATATAGTATAGTAATAAACCATAATCATTGTTCTGCATTTGATAGTAATAATTCTGGTAACTCTGTATCCTGTATTTGATAGTAATTTTGTAGTTTCTTTAATCATTTTTTTTTTATTAACAAGGAAAGTAAAAAGAAAAGGGAAAACATAATTAACACAATCAACATTCATACAATAATATACTACAGCCCACACACACATAATAACGTAATAGCACATTAACACACATTTAAAATCTTTTTCCAAAATTGGAATGTGTGGTAATTGGAAATAGGAATTGGAAATAGATTTTGGAGTTAAATTTTTAGATGGAAAGGTGTTAATATGTACTATAAGTGAATATATATATATATATGGGCTGGATTAGATTTATTAATGCAAATTTTTTTTTAAATCTAATCTAATGTTTTTGTTTTTAATGTATGTTATTTAGGAACAAAGAATTTTATAACCTCTGTAATCAGGTGATATTTATTCATCATTAAATAATAATATTTATTAAAATGAAATTATCTTGGTAAAAGGAATTATATCTTCATATCAGTTGACAGTTAATTTAAAGTATTAAAGTATAACTATGAAATAGAGTTTATAAAGTTTTAGAATAAACATTTGAGTTTGTTTATAAAACGTGACGCGTGTAATATTATATATTATACAGTGCGTACAACTTAGTCTCAGCAAATAAAATTGCCAATATTCAAATCACTACTCCTCCCTCAAAAAGGAAAGTAAACGCAAAATAAAACCGTAGGATGATAGAACAGACCAAGCTCAATAACTCCATGTTTTAAATTTTCTGTAAAACGATTTTTAACGACCTAGTAGCAATTCAAAGTTAGATAGTTTTACTATTAAACCAGATATTTTGGCCACCCATTGATTGGCTATTTTGCATTCTCATGACATCGATCATCGATCACGTTTTAATTACAATTGTCTCTTGTTTATTAAAAAAAAATTGAAACATAACATTGAAACATAAGAATTTTAATGTTTAAAATGATTATTGATATTTAAGTTTATTATTTTGCACTAATATTTTTCTTTTCTTTTTTTTTTTCTTTTGCAAATCAAACAACAAATTTACTAATTATCAATTGATTGTAAAATTGAGTCAAAAACCCAATGATATGAATGGTATTTTTTAACAGCAAATTCTGCTACCTGGCCTGTTAAGCCTTTTCAATACACATCCATATAACAAAATACTTTTCTTGCATATCAGTAAGTAGAACAGAAGCAAGAGCCAATGGAACAGTTCTTTGTAATTTGTCTATGAGTAATCACAATTTGACTAACTAAATTTTTTAGCTACATCTCAAAAGTTCTCAATTAAGTTAAGCTCATAGTAAAATTTGGAATAAAATATAATTTGATGTCCAGTTGCAACAATGACCTCTCCTTTTGTACTAAAAAATCTAATTATTGACTCATTACTTTTTATACTTCTTCCAATTTTAACCTTTCATTCAGCCACAATTTCCTTTCTACTAAAATTTGCTTTAATTCTTTTGACTGTTTACACAATTCAGGAATGTGATAATCTGATGGAAAAATTATGTCTTATGGAATTCCTTTACCAAAATATGTTTTGTGTATTTTTGACTGCTTTCCATTAGGACTAAGGTTCATATACTTAGCAATAAGTGTATCTGGTGAAAAAGCAAAATGATTTGTTTCATTGTCAAATGTAAATAAGACCTGATATTCTGGAAAACATGTTTCAAATATGGAAATAGTACATTCAACTACTTGGTTTATTAAATTATCAATCTTTTATCATCCATTATTATTTTTACCTAGGTATATAATAATACAAATTTCCTTAGAGATATTATTATCTGATATCTGCATTTCATTAGGAAGTACAAGATGACCACAAATTTTTGTTAAAAAATCACTAATATGAATTGAATGACCATTATCTTTTTTTTGTAAGAGTTGTTTTCCATTAGGAATTCAAAGATTTTGATTTCCATCATAAGTTGAAAAAATACATTTATAATGTGTAACAAGAATAAATAGTTACACATTATCATTTGACCAAGTTATTTCTTCCATATTGTCTCTTGAAAAAATAGGTATCCTATGTTCAAGTTCACTTATCTGTTCTAAAAATATTTTTTGATAGGTTACTATATTTTTTCTTTCATGTCCATCCATATACATTTCTTTC